CGCCAGGAGGGAGGTGGGGGGTGCCAGAAGTGCCACAGAAGTGCCACAGCTCCAGAAGCTGTCCCCACTCTGCCTGCAGTGCGCCAAGTGCCGGGAGTCATTCCACGGGAGCCCACTGGGTGGGCAGCAGTGCTACCGGCTCATCTCGGTGGAGCAGGAGTGCTGCCTCGACCCGCTCTCTCAGACCAACTGCTTCCACGAGCCCAAGCGCCGCGCCCTGGGCCCCGGCCGCACCGTCCTCTTCGGTGTGCAGCCCAAGTTCACAAACGTGGACATCCGCCTGACCCTGGACGTCACCTTTGGCGCCGTGGACCTCTATGTCTCCACCTCCTATGACACTTTCGTGGTCCGCGTGGCTCCCGACACGGGTGTCCACACCGTGCACATCCAGCCACCGCCACCGCCGCCACCCCCACCACCCCCGGCCGAGGGGGGTCCCCGGGCAGCGGGGGATCCTGGGGGGGCTGGGGCCGGGAGTGGGCCAGGGGCCCCGGCAGAGCCCAGGGTGCGGGAGGTGTGGCCCCGGGGCCTGATCACCTACGTGACAGTGACGGAGCCTTCGACGGTTCTGGTGGTGCGAGGGGTGCGGGACCGGCTGGTCATCACATACCCGCACGAGCACCACGCCCTCAAGTCCAGCCGCGTGTACCTGCTGCTGCTGGGCGTGGGGGACCCGAGCGGGCCGGGTGCCAACGGCTCAGCCGACTCGCAGGGCCTGCTCTTCTTCCGGCAGGACCAGGCCCACATCGACCTGTTCGTCTTCTTCTCAGTCTTCTTCTCCTGCTTCTTCCTCTTCCTCTCGCTCTGCGTGCTCCTCTGGAAGGCCAAGCAGGCCCTGGACCAGCGGCAGGAGCAGCGCCGCCACCTGCAGGAGATGACCAAGATGGCCAGCCGCCCCTTTGCCAAGGTCACCGTCTGCTTCCCACCCGACCCTGCCGCCCCGGCACCCACCTGGAAACCCACGGGCCTCCCACCACCCGCCTTTCGTCGCTCTGAGCCCTTCCTGGCCCCCCTGCTGCTGACAGGGGCCGGCGGGCCCTGGGGCCCCGGGGGAGGGGGCTGCTGCTCGCCCGCCCTCCCCGCCAGCCCGGCCGGCCTGCGCGCAGGGCCCATCACGCTGGAGCCCACCGAGGATGGCATGGCAGGGGTGGCCACGCTGCTACTGCGGCTGCCCGGAGGGCCCCACGCACCCAACGGCGCCTGCCTGGGCTCGGCCCTGGTCACCCTGAGGCACAGGCTCCACGACTACTGCGGGGGTGGTGGGGGCGCTGGGGGTGGTGGGCATGGGCCGGGCGCCGGCCGCAAGGGACTGCTGAGCCAGGACAATCTCACCAGCATGTCACTCTGACCCACCGCATGTCCAATGCTAGTGTCTCCAGGGGCCTCTGGTCCCCTCCCCGTCCCCTGGCAGGGCCGACTCTGCCCTACTTTCAACCATTATTTATTGAAACCTGCTGTGTGCCAGGCACTGCTGAGGCCCCAGGCGGGCGACCAAGCCAGGCGGTGTTCCCTGATGCCTGGGACTTTGTTCTAGTGAAGGGGGACAGTCAGCGTGGACACTGATCCCGCACATGCTGGCGGGACAAGGCCTTTGGGGCAGCATCTTGCTCAGTCTGGGAGAAGGAAGCACAGCCGGAGGAGGTTCCAGGCAGAGGGCACTTACGGTCACTCAAGGTCAAGGTTGAGGCCTTCATGGCAAAGCCCCGGGCTGGTTTTGTGGGAAGCACCAGCGGCCAGAGGGGCCAGTGGGCCCCAAGTGGGTTTGGGGTCTTATTCTCAGGGCAGTGGGAAGCCACTGGGCAGTTTCTGGAGGAAGGATGGGACTTGGAGCGGTTGGACGGGGTCTGTGAACTGGGGTGGGGGCACCCGCAGGGACTCGGGAGATGAGAGTGGGACAGAGAGTGGGATGGGATTGGGTGCCCTGGTGGCAGGGGAGAGGAGTCCAGCATCATCCGCACCTGTGGCACCCTCTGTGTGTCAGTGGCAGCTGGTTGGTTGAGATGGAGATGGGGGCCCAGTGGAAGATGAGCCCAGTCTCGGCCCTGGGGTACCCCCAGAGACGAGGTTCCTCAGGAGCCATGCTGCCTGTGCTCTGGGTGTGTGTGGGGTTCCTGAGCAGAGGCTGGCCCACAGAAGCACAGGGCCAGGACAGGACCCTGCCACTGGAGGTGGCAGAGCCACCCGCCCAGGCAGGAGAGGTCAGGAGAAGGGTGAAATCCTCAGCCTTCAGCTCACCTGGAGATGAAATCGGGGTCCCTGCAGGGGCTGTCCCCAGCCAGTCCCACCTTTGACTTCTAAGCCCTTCTCCCCTTTTGAACTTGGTATTCTCCTTTCCCAAGACTTGAACCCCAGTTGCCTTTTGGGACCCCTGGGGAGCTGGTCCTACCTGCACCTTACCCTTGGCAGGGGGCCTCAGTCTTGAAAGTGGAGAGGGGTGTACTTGGGTCAACAATAAAGAGTGGAGTGTGGGAGACTCTGTGTCTGGGGCTATCTGTGTATGGAAGGTGGGGTGACCTGCTAGGTGGTGTCCAGGTGGTATCCTAAGAGAGAATAGGGCAGCGGGGTCTTTGACCCCTGACCCCATCTCGGGGAACCCTGTTTCTCAGGAGGGGAGATGGCCAGGCTGTGCTCACAGGTTCTGGCATGGCCCAGGCTAACGCCAGCACACACAAGGCATGTGATGGACCTCTGTGGGCCTCTGGGCATCACCACCCCAGACCCCACATATGCAGTATTGCTGAGGGGCACAGCAGGAAGTAGACGTGAGGGGTGCAGGGCGGCCTCTCTCCCAGGGTCCACGAATCTCACAGCCTTTCCATACCCTGGGCAGTTAAAGGGCTTCCTGGGGGTCAGCCCACCACGTGCATGTTTGCCATCGGCCCTGTTTCCTCCCAGTGCCCATGGCCGGCGAGACCTAGGAGCCGCGTGTGGGCACTTCGCCTGCATGTCATTGCTGCAGTTCCATTGACTTCCCAGCAGCCTTGTGGGCAGCTGCCCTGCCCTTGTGTGGCCCCCAAGACCCCAGAATCTTCAAGTAAAGAGGATAGGTGCCACCAAGGGCTTTGGGCGCCTGGTACTGTGCTGGGGACTGGTTTGGGATTTTGTTTCTGATGCCACAGGGGATAGGACCCAGGGACACACACACACACACACACACACACACACACACACACACACACGGCAGGAACTTTACCCATAAGTCACATTCCTGGCCACTGGCTGTTGTGAGCAATCACTGGTTTCCACAGTGTGAGTGACAATTACAAGGTCTGGGAGCCACACTTGGTATGTGAAAGCCCCAAGTTTGAACCCAGCATGGCATGCTTCCTGGAGCACCACCAGGCATGACCCTGAGCCCCAAAACAGCATTGAAAGGGAAGACGGAAGGAGGGGATTTTTTTTTTCTTTTTGGGTCACACCCGGCGCTGCTCAGGGCTTACTCCTGGCTCATGCACTCAGGAATTGCTCCTGGCGGTGCTCAGGGGACCATATGGGGTGCTGGGAATCGAACCTGTGTCGGCCATGTTGGCTGCGTGCAAAGCAAACGCCCTACCCACTGTGCTATCGCTCCAGCCCCAAGGAGGGGATTTTTAAAACGTAGTTGGAAGGGTAAGAATAGGAGACAAGGTCGGAGAAGGGAAGGTGTTGGGTTTGGTAAGGATTCAACTCTGCAGAGCAGGAGATGCAGGAGCTGGGGCAGGATGAAGCTTTGATGACAGAGTGGAGGTGGGTGAAGGTGAAGAGCAGATATGGGGGGCTTGGGGGGGGATTTGGCATTGCAGGTGAAATTTGAGATGCCAGTTTGCTATTGCAAGTGAAGGTGTCACTGATGGTTGGCTGTACGGATCAGAGAGTGGAAGAGAAGAGAAAAGCACCGGTGAGAGGAGCCATGATGGTAAAATTACTTAATTATATATTAATTATGCCATTAGCAGCAATGACTGCTGATTGGATTCACTTTCGGGTCTTCACATCCCAGCTGAGCCTCCCATGTCTGCCGTTGAATCTGTTTGGGGTTAGACTCAGGGCGGGAAGCTGTGAATTCAGCAAAAGTCAAGGTGGACCCCAGGCCTGTTAGATCTGGGGACTGAATAGATGATTTTTGCCACAGAGAGTGGATTGAACTCGGGCTCCTTAACGGTTGCTTTGGCTTCAGGGAGCAGTGCTCGGCCTGTGAACGGTGTTCAAGGCTCAGCTTCTGGTGAACCATGCAGCGCTCCCTAGTTTGTCCTTAGATCTCGAGGCAGCCAGAGTTAAGGCTCTTGTCTGGCATGCAGCCCACCTGAGTTCAATCCCCAGCACGACATGGTCCCCTGAGCACTGCTGGAAGAGCACAGAGCCAGATATAGCCCCTGAGCATTACAGGTGGTGCACCACCGCCCACCCCTGCAATATAAGAATTTGTGTAACTTGGCTTCTCTACCAAGATAGATTTTTTGATTTTCAGGATCTGGGCAGAGCCTTAGGGGGTCTTCATTAGAGGGGACCCTGGGGGAGAGTGGGGAGCACTTGCCAATGTCACAAACATCTTGCTGAGACCTGGGGATTTTTGGGGTCCTGAGTGCCTCCTGCTGTTTCCCACCCCCTCCACCCCCCCGAAATACACACACACACACACACAAACACACTCCCAAAAGATCCTGTCAGGGGGATAGTTCAAGGAGTGCATGTGGGAGGCTCCAATTCCAGCAGGGTGCCCCACAGTCCCTGAGCACCCACAGAGCACCCACCGCCAGTGTGGTTCCTTGGTTCCCACAAAACAAAACACCCACCAAAATGGAAATGGAAAGATTTCACAATGAGGCAATTCCCCTTTGCACCCCGGCAGGCCCATCCCTGAGTCCCCATCTCCTGGCTGGCCCTTCCCCGCCCAGATTCCTCCCAAGGGACAAAAACGTGGGCGGGGTTGGTTTTCAGGTTTTTTTTTTTTTTTTATTGTGGGTGTACATGGGACAGCTGGGAGAGAGCTGGAAGGGCGGGCCCTCCCGGGAGGGCGCAGCGGAGGCCAGAGGACCAAAAGAAAAGTGGGGAAGGGGGAGCCCCTTTATTCTCGGATCTTCAGTTCCCGCGCCATCTGACACAGCGCGCAGGGAAGACAAAACGTGAGCGCCGCCCAATCGTGCCCGATGGATCCCTGGTGGGTGGGGGAAAGAGGTCAGAGCGCGTGGGTGAGCGCCAGCGCGGCCCCGTCTCCGCGCGCGCCCCCGTCCCCGCGCGCGCCCCCGGGCCTGCGCTCACCTGGATGCAGTAGCGCTCGCGCATGCCGGTGCGGAGCGAGTGCAGGCCGCCGGGCAGGTAGGGCGCGCAGCAGCACTCGCCGAAGTCGTCGGAGATGCGACAGGCCAGGCACATGGGCGCAAACGTGCCGCAAAGACCTGGGCCGGGTGTGGGCGTGGTCAGGGGCCGAGACCAGGCTCCCCGGGAGAGGGGGGACGGGGGGCGGGGAGCTGGTGGTCCAGGATGGGGTGCTCAGAGGTGGGGAACCAGCGTTTGAAGCGGGAGTTGGGGCCACCAGGAGGAACGTGGAGGATGCACTGGGCGGGGTTGGGGGTTGGGAAGGGCTGAGATCCGGGAGGGTGGGGGAGGGTGGGGAGTCCGAGGATGGGGTGAAGGCGAAAGGGGTTCAGGGCCCAGGGAGGGGGCGCTGGAGGTAGGGTTACACTCACAGACGGGCATGTCGTTGCAGCAGTCCGTGAGCCCCGTGTGCCAGTCACTGGCCTGTGTCTGGTAGCAAGTGTTGGCACACTGGGGCTGGCTGGTCACTGGGTAGGACATGGCTGTGGAGGGGACACGGGTCATGGGGCAGCCTCACACTTTCCCTCCGGCTGCCTCTCCCTCTGCCGGGCGGGGTCCCAGAGGGGACCCCACTATGCCTCCCCCTTCCCTACGGCTCCCGCTCATCAGGTGGGTGGGGTCCTGCACTGGGGGCATAGTGGGCGGGACGAGGGAGAAGCGTCGCTGCTGCCTCCAGCCGGGGATGTCGGGGGTCTGGGGTGCCAGCAGGAGCCGGCTGTCATCCGAGGGCGCCCGCAGGCCCACCTTTGCCTTTCACGCGGCACTCCTGCATCTCGAACTGCATCTTGCTGGCCCTGTGGAGGCGGCGCGGGGGACCGCAGCGGTGATAGTGACAGCCGGCTGGATCTGTGCCAGGGGCGCTGGAGATGGGGGCTTGGGCAAGGGGCACCGGGGGCGGGACTGGGGGACAGGTTGAGGGGGAGGAGAAAGAGGCCAGGTGAGCCTGCCAGCTAGGAGAGGGGGAGGGGTGCCGGGAGAAACTCGCGGATCTCTGTCCAGCTGTCCCACAGACCCCAGCGGACCCCCTCAGACCAGAGGCAGAGCCGAGAGAGTGAGTCAGAAGAGCAGGTGCCTCCCATCTCCCGGCACGGGGATGGCACTGCCAGCCCATTTCCCAGACAGATCATTGAGGCCCCAGAGCCCAAGAGAAGCCCCTTTGGGATGGCCCAGACGAGGGGTGCTGGCCCCAGAGCTTCCAAACTCCACTACCCAGTTCTGTCCTGGTGGAGGAGGCAGTTGTGGGGGGCACCCAGAGCTGGGGTCAGCCATGCAGGGAAGCAGGGAGCAGAAGTGGGGCTCCTACCTGCAGGTTTGGATGGTGACAACCACGGAGATGACAGGGCAGACACACAGGCGACACGGCACTCTGAGTTCTCAGGCTCGGGACAGGACCAGTTTATATTGGGGCCGCCCCATGGGCCTGGGCGGGGCTCTGATGGAGCATGTGGAGCCAAGCCGGTCTGGCTGACCCTCTGGCCCTACTGGGCCTCCCCCTCTTCCTCCTTCCCCAGCCCCCCTACAGTGGCCTCCTGGCTTGCCTGGGGCACAATGGGTGGGGGGCAGGGGCCAGGCATGAGGAGAGGCAAGTGGGCAGAGACCAGAGGTGGAAGAGATGGGGAGAGCCAGTGGAGTCGAGATCTGGGGAGAAGTTAAGGAAGGGAAGGAGGGGTCCAGAAGTCATGGAAAGTGGGGGCTCGTGAGGTTGGAGCGATAGCACAGTGGGGAGGGCGTTTGCCTTGCACACAGCCGACCTGGGTTCGATTCCCAGCATCCCATATGGTCCTCCAAGCACCGCCAGGAGTGATTCCTGAGTGGAAAGCCAGAAGTTACCCCTGAGCATCACCGGGTGTGACCCAAAAAGCCCAAAATAACAACAACAACAACATCAAAAAGTGGGGGTTCAAGTCTGCAGCGAAGAAAGGCAACAGTGAGTGCTGGTGTCTTCTCCCATCTGCCTCTGGGAGGCCCTCACTTCCCTGGGGAGAGGCTCTGCGCTCCCATCCGGGAGGTGTGGGGCTTACTGTGCTTGGGGCACTCATATTGGCACCTAAGGCAGGAAACCACCACCAGATTGAGGAGGAGGCGGCTGAGGGTGGGGGAGGGCAGACTCCCCCCAGGACTCATGGGGTCTGACACAGCAGGAGGGGGCTCCAGGTGCTGCAGGAGCAGGGCTTGGCCCACTGGCTGCTCAGAGGAAGGAAGGGGCTGGGGGTCCAGGGCTCCTGAGGGAGAGAGTTGGGGGCCTGAGTCACCGAGTCTCCCCCCAACAGGCCTGGCAGGCTTGGAAGTGACTCAGTGAGGGAAGCAGCGTTAGAGCCGGGTGGGGATCCTGGCATGGGTGTTACCCCAAAAATGTAGGAGGCACCGGAAAATTGGGGTGTCACCTACAAAGAAGGTGGTGCCGTCACTTTACTGAGTGGGGTGAGTATGGGCATGGCGGAGGCAGGTGGTTCACCCTGCTGGCCTGGGATCCCAGGCCCCCCCACCTCCACACCCTTTGCCTCCCAACCCCAAGACCTGTTCTTCACCTCGTGGCCTCTCTGCACCATCCCATGGCTCCCTGTCCCTGTCCCTAGGTCATCTGATAGCATCAATGTCTATCCCCGTGGGGCCATTGCTGGGTGGAGTCTGAATATCTGGGGACCCCTTTCCATTTCTGTCCTGGGGCCCCTGCCCCCCCAGCCATGCCCCTTCCTCACTCTGAGGGGCTCTTCTGTAAATCTCTCTCCAAAATTCCCCTGTACTCTCTCTCCCCACCTCCCAACCTCCTCCCAAACTCTGCATCTCTCCTCCTTGTCCTGGGGTCTCTGCCTCTGTTCCCACCCCCTAGTTTCCCAACCCCATACTGCAGGGAGTCAGTGCCAGTCATGGCCTAGGATGAGGAGGAGGAAGAAGAGGAGGAGGAGGAGGAGGAGCAGGAGCAGGAGCAGGAGGAGGAGGAGGATTTCCAGGTGCTGGTCAGCTCTGCCCTGAGTCTCCGCTCCTCTCACTGACACATCCTGGGGCCCCCAATTAGATACAGCGAGTCTCAGGGAGATGAGGAAATCGAGACTGTGGACGCTGTGAGGTGGCCAGCTGTGGGGAGAGGAGGCAGCTCGCAGGAAGAGGAAAGTGAGGGGCTGAGGGGTGACCATCTGCCTCCATGCATCTGACAGCTCCCCCCTCAAACAGGGTGTTAGCTAAAATACAAGGCATCTGCTTAAATGATACAAACAGACAAACCTGGCAAATATTGTTATTTAAATATAATAAATAATAGTATTATTTATTAAAATATTGTTATTTAGCATTTTATTGTGTTTCAAATTAATTATTTGTTTTTGGTTTTGGGTCATATCCAGTGGTGCTCTCTGAGCTGTAGTTTTTCTGTTGCAAACTTCAGCCTCTCTTGCTGGACCTCGATCATCTTGCTTGTAAAACTAAATGAAAATATAATAATATGATCTCTTACTCCTGGCTGTGCACTCAGGAATTACTCCTGGCAGTGCTCAGGGGATCATATGGGATGCTAGAATAAAACCTGGGTCAACCATGTGCAAGATAAATGCCCTACCCACTATACTATCCTTCCTACCTTTTATTATTATTATTATTATTATTATTATTATTATTATTATTTTGAGGTCAAATCTGGTGGTGATCAGGGACTACTCCCAGCTCAGTACCAGGGGTCTCTGCTGGAGGTCTCAGGGAACCAGGGATGGAATCCCGGGACACCTGCATACAAAGCCTGCACTCAGTGTTTTGTGCTACCTCCCAGACTGAAACATATTTTTATTTATGTACTTATTTATTCACGGCAAAGCCTGGCAAGCTACCCATGACATATTCCTCCTCCTCCTCCTCCTCCTCCTCCTCCTCCTCCTCCTCCACCTCCTCCTCCTCCTCCTCCTCCACCTCCTCCTTCTTCTCCTTCTTCTTCTTCTTCTTCTTCTTCTTCTTCTTCTTCTTCTTCTTCTTCTTCTTCTTCTTCTTTCTTCTTCTTGTTACTCCTGGCTCTGTGCTCTGGGATCATTCCTGGAGGTTCACAGGGGACTATGGGGTGCTGGGGATTGCACCTGGGTCAGCCGTGTGCGGGCCAAGTGCCCTGACTGCTCTCTACTATCACTCCTGCCCCCAAAACTTATGTTGCAAGCAATAGTTGGGATATCCTTTTCCAAAAAAGGATTCGTTTCTCTGAGATCCAGATTTATTTGAGCATCCTATTTAACATTGGCTCAAAGAGGACTCCAGGGCCAGAATTTATAGTGCAGCAGGTGGGGTGCTTGCCTTGTACACAGCTGACCTGGCATCCTATATGGGTTCCACGGAGCCCTGCCAAGAGTGATCCCTGAGTGTAGAGCCAGAAGAAATCCCTGAAAACCGCTGGGTGTGGCCCCCAACAAATAAAAAAAATAAAAAGAAAAGGAAAAAAGCACAGGGGTCCAGTGCCTTGCAGGGGAGCAGTGAATCCTCTGTGGGTGCATTTGACTGCTGGTACTGCACAGCCCCAGACCGCTGGAGGTAGTCCTGGTGGTCCTTGAGCCCCTTAGTGTCCTAACACTGGTCTGGAAGGCTCCTTCTGCAGCAATGACCCCTGCACCCAGGACACCTCTGGGAGCCCCAGGAGAGAGAGTATAGAGGGGAAGGTGCTTATGGACTGGTCCTTGCCAATCCCCAGCGCCCCATAGGGCCCCTTTCCCCAACATCTCCAGGAGTGATCCCTGACACAGAGCCAGAAGCACCACTGGGTGTGGCCCCCAAACCCAAAACAAAGAACATCAACAAAAACTAACAAGGGGAGGAGTCAGGTGACTGGCCGGGCCCATTCCTCCAGGCTGGCAGCCAGGCGGGTTTGGGTCCAGTTGCACAACGTGGCATTCATAAGGCGGGTGGTGCCGTCCACAGTCCCGGTGAAACCAGTTGGGCTAAGTGGACCAGTGAAGCGGCACCCCCTTCCCATCCTAGACTGCTGCTTCCGCCAGGGCCAGTCCTATGGAGGACTCTCCAAGCCTGGTTTGGGTGTCATCATGTCATGTGTCTTGTGTGTCATATGTGGGACTGTCACCATGCATGGCTCTGCGTGCTCCTGGGCGGTGGGTGTGACACAGGTGGGGCCTTTTGTGTGTGTGTGTGTGTGTGTGTGTGTGTGTGTGTGTCTTCAGTGACCTTTCTAGGGGGTTCTGGATGGTTCAAGTGGGAACACAGCGGGGCTGGAGACATAGCACAGGGGTGTGGCACTGGCCTTGCATGCAGCTGACCCTGGTTTGTTCCCCAGCACAGCACATGGTTCCCTAAGTGCCTCCAGGAGAGATTCCTGAGCCCAGAGCCATGACTAAGCCCTGAGCGCTGTTTGGTGTGCCCCCCAACCAAAAACAAAGTCAAGTAATTCCTGACTCTACACTCAGGAATTACTTCTGGCAGTGCTCAGGGGACCATTTGGCATGCTAAGAATCGAAGACAGGTCTGCTGCATGCAACGCACTACCCACTGTCTGTTCTATTGCTTCATATCCTTCCCCCCCCTAATAAAATAAAATGAAATAAAGTAGGAACAAGGGCTGTAAGCCAAGAAGTCCTGGAAGCTTCTCCTGGGCTTGTTCTTTTTGGGTCACACCCAGTAATACTCAGGTGTTACTTCTGACTCTGTACTCAGGAATTACTCCTGGTGGTGCTCGGGTGACCCTATGGGATGCTGGGGATCAAAGCTAGGTCTGCCGTGTGCAAGGCAAGTGCCCTACCCGCTGTACTATGGCTCCAGCCCTGAACCTCTATTTTTGCATCAGCAGAATGGGGCGTTGTGAATAGACTCGCGAAGGGGCATCTCCGAGCTGACTGGAGTTGATGGGGTAAAGGATCTAGATGGTGCCT